GGCCAGTTTTATAACCGTCTGAGCAGTATGAAGAAGACAAGGCCAGAGGGAAGTACGTTCATTTCGGTCCAGCATGGTAAGGACACTTCTGTTCACCAGGACCCAATCTCTGCTCACCATTGAGTTAAGAGAGTGTACAGAAGAAGGCTACCCGTGGTGTGTTCTTTTTCTTTATACAGAGCTTCAAATCTACTATTCAACTGAGCACAGAACGTCGAGTGTTCAAATAAACGTAGCCGATACAGACAGTCCCCTTGTCAAGACAAAGGCATATATATATACCTCTACGCAATATATGGATTGCCGTGACGTGTTGGAAGCAGCATAAAGCCAGAGAATCATAAATAGCTGGATCAAGTCTTATTACATACAAGCTGGTGGTCGATACAACACTCAATGCTCATGTCTTGCTACTGATTGTTGGAAAATCCACAGTGACAGCTCTGTATTAAAACAGAATGTCATTCCTTCTCTAAAAAGGGCATATAGATTTCTGCCTTGTCACTTGAAAGTCATCCAGACGACCCGGTTCTTTCTGAACTCACAACCATCGTAATGAAATATACAGAAAACACCATACCAATTACCTATAGATTATCTTCTCATTGACTGACTCAGTGGACCGGAACAATGTTAAGTAGACTTTTAGCTTTGTAGTCCTTGCTGCATGGGCTGCATGTGGTTGATGTAGTTTTTCCATTGGTCGCGTACAAATTGTAATCGACTCGGAGAAAATCAGGGCTCTATGTGTGTGCCGTGGATGGTCAGTTACCCGGACTTGGAAAAGAGGCGAATTGAAAAAAAATAATGGATCCTATGAGATTCGAACTCATGCATCTTACGATACTCGATCTTGAGTCGAGCGCCTTAAACCGCTCGGCCAAAGATCCATTTGTTATTTTGTCGACCTCCCCTCTTTGTCATGCTAGTAAGAAAATAAAGCTTATAGAGTATGATTAATTATCATACACATGAATTGTATAGCTTTAATCGTCTTTAATATACTATTCATTGATTGTGTAACTGCTTTAATAGTTTTAGGACTCATTTATCACTTCCTTTCATTAACTTAGTGGTTAAACCATTTGATTACTTTGGAAAAGATGAACCCATTTTATATCAGTACTTTTATCATAAGGGTAGTTATTAAAATGATGATAATAAAAATAGCAAACTGGTTTCCAAATTTACCAAAAATATACTAATTTATAGCTGATACTCTAACTAAGAGACTTATGAGGTATGAGTATGGGATCCTCCATGCTTCCTGAGATATAACCTTTCAAAAAGAAGATAAACTTGGTCAAAAACGCATAAACTTGCCTATATCAACAACAAAACAGATTTAGGAAACTATAGAGGGCCAGGCAGTAAAGCTGATCTATATACTCATATATATAAGCTTAAATTGATTGGACTGGTGGGTTTTCCAAGAAAATCAAGGCAGTTTTTTATATGGATAATTCTGGTTCTTCGTTACTCGAGCAAGCCTAAAAAGGTAAGGATGCCTCCACAATGCTTAAAGGATATCATCTTGGAACCAATCACTGCCAACTATTCACGACCAAACAATACAATTATTTAGTAATCGTCTTGGGCTTTAGAAATACTGGCGACTCAAATGGAGCAAACTGACTCAGTGGGCATCGAAGGTTGTGTATTCCCTGGAGTTAAAGGTATGATGCCTCAAGAAAATGGACAAGAGCAGTGTGTAGGAGTTTATACAATTAGATCCAGACTTAGTTACAAATCTCCAGCTCGAATTGCTTACAGGTGTTCTTCAAAATGGTGAAGAATATAATAAACTTGAGGATCACATTGGTAAGATTGATGACTTTTCCTCTCAAAACACTTCTATATACTCCTATATACCTCTAGAGAAATTGTTCAACAGGGAATTAGAAACCTGTGCTCAACGAGAGAAGGAATCTTTGTTGAATTTGCCAACATTGAACCAAAGGCACCAACAAAGCCAGAACATTGTACTTTTTACGACCAGAGGTGAAAGAATTTGCCTTGGTGCGCACAGATATAGCAGCAGAACATGATTTCAGTACTTATCAAAAAGAGATCTACAGGTCGCTTCACTTTAATCAAGATTGTGCAAGAATGTTTTTTTGGCCTTTCAGATTCTCTCTTAGATACAATAAGGAGAAGATGGAATCCTTGCCATACTAATGGGACCTAGGCTAGTATCATTCTACCCACACCATACACACACTTGCGAACATATACACGAAATCTTACGCAACAGTTTTAGGAAACTCTTTAAGCGTTGGCTTCGTTAGTTTCAAAGTAGTCATTTGATCAATGAGAGAGACTAAGCGTAAGTCAAGACCCAGTGGTCACACGGTGTAAGGTGATCGAGAGGGTACCGGTGAATCCATGTTATGACTTCGAGTCTTGTTGCAGACAATAAGGGTAAGAGTCGTCCAGAAGAAGAGACTGATAAAGAAAGCCGTTCAGCAGTCGGATTGAAAATCAATGCTGAAACCAAGATGGCTCTGCGTCCCTTGTTGCTCGACCATATCGATGAAAACAGCCCAAGGTCATCGTGGTTCTCTGATTCTGTTGACTTGTGTGCTTATGTATTTGAGCCCTTGGAAAGTTCAGCACTAATCACCTTGAGCAATACTGTTGTGGGGAAGGCTGGATTACTGTTTCATGGCGAGCGTAAACCAAGCAATCCAAAGAGTGGTTTCATTCCAATTCAGATGTTGAACTTCAATCACTTCGAATTCATGGCCCACCATAGACTATAACTAGATAAGATATCGCTTCTGGCAGTTCATCCAGTTTACAAGTTTAATGTGACCCACCACTTGACAAACATTGCAATATTTCACATAGACACCATGCAGGAGTGGCTTTCCAACCACCATTACATATCCCAAAGCTGGTCTTCAATGCTTTTCTAATGAATTTACACTGGTGACTTGTATAGAACAACAATTAGCGAAGACTCCCAGGTAACCACAGTCCCAGATCTGGTTGCGAGTCCGTGGATTTTCATCTCTTTGACCTTGAATCTGCTTTCAGTGGAAAGTGTATGTTAACGGAGAAATCCACTTCATACAGCCATAAGGCGTTGTATATGCGATACGTGTTATGCATCTCTCCTGGGACAAAAAGAACTGGAATGAAGACACGGCTTGAAAATTTGTCTGCTCCAAACTTTTAACCCAACGCTTTGTTTCGTGACTCTGTTCCTCACACTTGTTCTAATTTCCTCTCGTGACAGTTCAAGTTATTCTGGCTGTGTTAAACTCATTCACAAGCGTATGTAGCATGTACAAGGAGTCATTTAAAGCTGGGGTTATATTCGTTTTCCGGGAGAACGCTAGACCACCGGACCTCAGAGGCCCTTTGAAGGACATTAATCTTGCCGTACATGACAAGTTATTAGCCAATTGTCCAATAAGCACACATCTACGTGATGTAGATTTCATGACCACCTCATACTGTATGTGAGCTTTGCAATGATTTGTCAATTTCGTGTTGTCAATCCTCAGGAAGGACAAGTTTCAGCCATGCAGCGGAAATCAGCGGGAAAATGAACCTAATCTATGACTATTTTAACCACCACGCATGTTGGCTATATTAACTTTCACCGACGTGTCACCTCAAAGGGCCCAGTGTCCGAAGACTTTGTGTGGAATTAGTGCCGTTGCTGATTATTATATGACTTTTTGTCATTAACCGTATAGAGAGACATATGAAGTAACTGGTTGGCTCTTTTTGGTATCTACCCTCAGTGAGCCACTATCCCAACCACGGAAGGAGCGTGTCACGAGCTATGAGCCACAAAGGCTTTACAATCTTGATATGGGAGAGCTCCAGGTTCTGTGGGGACAACTTCCATTCGTATGCTGCAATGATCTTCGGTTCTGACCGCCCTGGACACTGTAGCCTTGCTAAAACGGAAAGGCCCATCCTTTTAGCCTATTTTTGTCCCCTCCTAAATCCCACCCTATTTTAGTCCGTCGGTGATATAATCTCTAGATCACAACAGATGACAGGATATACATAGAGTTATACCGCTCCTTCATCGTCCACTGGAAACATTAAGCTTGTAAAGTCATCTACCCTCAGTGCTCTCGTATTGGCAATGTCCAGTTGATAGCAACAAAAGGAGACATCGGTGGAGTTTTTCCCATTTTCAAATGTCCGTGCATGAAGTTTCACCGATGAACGCCGTAATTTTCCGATGATGCAGCGAGTCCCACCACTGGACATAGGACAGAGGACATTGGACATTGGACATTGGAAAGTGGTTAGATTCCCTGTTTGACTATCCTTTGGTTGTTGAGAGCAGTTGTATCCATTTGCAACTCTCGTCTTTGCGAGTAGTAAGAAACGATCTCACCCTAAACCATCCCCCAGTTTGTCCTTTGTCCAAGAAACAACAACGACAACATATGCTACTTCCAGCATATGCCATCTCCAACATATCTTAGCTTCAACAAGACACACAGTTCTTGGTTTTACATTCTCTGTTCTGGACTTGTCATTTACATGAGCACTCTGTAACCTTATGCATGTACCCCGGTGGGGGTGGAGGCGTTGTACGATGTGTAATATGTATTAACGGGTACCCATTTCCCATTGCACGTAGCAGTCAATGTGCTATGTGATGTAGGCCCCAGAAGTTGTGTGTTTTATAGGCCAATTGCTTGCTGAGACTGAGGATCCCCACAAGCTATATAAGGGAAACCTGATCCTCCATAAGCTGCCCAGTTTATCAGATGGTTTCCATCCACTATATGTCCACAATGGAGGAGAACAAAGCAGAGATCACATATGTGGAAAGCGCAAAGGAAGACTTTGAAATTGTCAAGCAATCAGAGCCAACTGAGGAGTTGGAGAGAAACTTGGCCATCCCAGAGTCTTTGAAACACATGACTGAGGAAGAGCTTGAGGCATTTGACAAGAAAGTCACTAGAAAGATCGATTTCAGAATCTTGCCAACATTGGTTTGGATCTACATCTTAAACTACTTGGACAGAAACAACATTGCGTCCGCACGTCTTGGTGGCATGGAGGACGACTTGGGGCTGAAAGGTAATCAATACCAGACGTGTATCTCTATTCTTTTTGTTGGTTATATTCTTATGCAAATCCCAGCAAACATGCTGATGAACAAACTGGGAAGACCTTCAGCCTTCATGACGACAATCATGTTTACCTGGGCAATTATCTCTACATGCACAGGTGCAGTACAGAACTACGCAGGGTTGATGGTCATTCGTCTGTTGCTTGGGTTCGTGGAAGCTGGCTTCTTCGGGTCTGCCTTGTACTACTTGTCATGTTGGTACTCCAGAAAAGATCTGTCCTTGAGAAATGCCATTCTCTACTCAGGTTCATTGTTCTCCGGTGCTCTTTCAGGATTGATTGCTGCAGGAATCATTGAAAATATGAACGGGGTCCATGGTTTGAAGTCTTGGAGGTGGTTATTCATTATTGAAGGTTCTATCACCATTGGAACTGTTCCCTTGGCCTACTTCATCCTTCCAGATATGCCACATAACTCAAAGTTCCTCACAGAGCAGGAGAGAGATTTTGTCATGTGGAAACTCAGAAGAGAAGTGGGTCAAGACGATTCAGACAAGCTGAACGAGGAGTCATACTGGACAACGTTCCTTTTGACTGTTAAGGATATCAAAGTCTGGTGTCTCACTGGTGTCTTTGCCTTCCTTGTCGCAGCCTGTGGTGTCACCAACTTCTTCCCAACAGTGGTGAAAACTTTGAACTTTGACAATATCACCACTTTGGGCTTGACTGTACCACCTTATATGATTGCTGTTGTTGCAACATTTATCTGGGCTAGACATGCGGATAAGACTGGAGAAAGATTCCTACACGTCACCATACCTCTGGTGTTATCAATGATAGCCTTCATTATTGCAGTGGCAACTACAAATACTGGTGCACGCTACTTTTCCATGTGCCTGATGATCCCGGCTTTGTATTGCTCTTTTACAACTATTATCTCATGGATGTCAAACTGTGTTCCTAGACCACCATTGAAGAGAGCCATTGCAATTTCCTTGATGAACTGTTTGTCCAACTCCACTTCCATTTGGAACTCATATTTGTATCCAACCAGTGCAGCACCAAGATTTCTTCAGGCTTTCATTGCCAACATCGTCTTCCTCATCTTAGCCATTGCGATCGCAGTTATCCTTAGAATCAAGCTGATGGTTCTCAATAAGAGAATCGAAAGTGGCACCATGAACTGGGAGAAGGAGCTTGGTCGTGGTAATGACGGCTCTAAAATCAGCCCTGATTTCCGTTTCCTTGTTTGAGAATATGAATTGAATTGCCATGATTGTGTTTAACCGTTCAAACTCGTAGATAATCCACTAAACGTCAGATTGAGGGATAGCCATAGTAAGGATGCTACATCAATTGTAGGCAAGATCATTAGAGAAGGTTCTCAGTACTTCTGGTTAGTTTCTACTCGTGCTGCGCCATTCATTATCCACATGGCTATGCAATTGTAGCAGAAAGTCTCAACCTGAGCTGGCATCGCCTTAAGTTCATAAGTGTTCTTCAATCACCTCACTAGACCCATACACAACACCGAATTTACCATATATAATATATTAGAAATTGTCTATGAGCTTCAAAAGCACATGGCCAAGACTGTCGAATGATACAGCCCGTTGTTACAAATGATGGTCAAAGTAGTTTCTTTGTATTAGTGAACTTCCTCGAGGGCTTTACTCTACCTGGACATATATATATATCGTTCAGTATAAGGACAAAGACCACCCTTCATTCTCAGTGAAGAGTCAGCATTCTCTCTTCCTTATTGACAAAGTAATAACGACATCAGTGACAAAACTGTTGCTGCCTTTCCTCATAACAGTCCAGGTCATTGAGGACATGAGCAATGATGCCATTAGGGGAAATGGTTGTTCATGGCTTGTTCATTATAGATTGTATCAATTATTGAGGGAAAAAGTCGCCAAATGAAGGTAGCTAGCCATGGTTCTTCCACCTCTTAAAGTCAGAGACCAATCCCATACTTCATCTTGTGGAATATTGCCTTCATTGTATGGTTTTTTTGCAGTTGCTGTGTTGATGCAACCATCAACTTCACTTGCATGATTGTTTCCATTCGACTAAAGTCCCACTCTTATGGATAGTGCTATGGCTGTGAAAAGACAAATGCTGAGTCCATGACATTAAATCAACACCCCTTGTGCTACAACACTTGTGCTTTGGTGCCATGTTCTTGAGTGTTGATCACAATAGCTGAGAAGAGCAGAAATGTACTAAGATGTATAGAGAATAATCTGTTGGCAGTAATAGCGCAGCAATAGCTGAAACAACAACAGAGAAAATATATTACATAGGGGTTATACAATAACACAATGAACATAGTATGGGACATGAATGGTATTCACTTGCCAAACACATGTTCTAAAGGGGACGGGGGCTAAAGAAGCACCAACAAATCATGCCTGTTATTTTCATCAGCAGCAAAGGAGAGGCCCTCATGTAATGACCTCTTTAAGCTCAAAGGAGACAGTTTGATGGATCGTTTGAACAAGAAATAACAGGATCTCCATGGTCATGGAGAGCCACATAGGCTTGAAAGGAGCAATCATACGTTCAATGAGGATTATTCGTGTTCATTGTCAGCCAATGGTAGAAATTTGAGAGCTCAGTTTCAAGTTCAGTGCTTGTCATTATAATTTGAGAAGCAGCTGAAGGTGGAACATGTGAAGCAGCTCCAAGAAGATGAAGATGGCCCATTTGAATAAAGACAATCATATAGATCTGCCATTGATATTTGGGGTTTCGATCGAAGTGACTGTGCCATAAATCGATATTGATGGAGAGCTAAAAAGAACATTGATTCTTTTTCCTCATTGGTTAGATGAGATAACCACTAGTAGCTTCCATCCAATGAAAACAGGTAGTCTTGGAACAGGGAATTTGGGACGTATTCATGGTTATCAGAATAGTGGATCATAAGTTGTCCCAAGTCCCTGAAGCTCTCGTGCTGCTGACATTCATGTTCATGACACAGTGGCTCGCTCCAATCTTCTCCATTCCAAGGAGGTGTTGTACCATTTGAGCTTGAATTATAGACTACACCATGGATGGGATTGGCGTCACCATTGTCATTCGTCGGTAGTTCTGAGTAGAGCTGCTTTATTGGAGGTGAATCACCCAACAAATCCCCATTCAGCGTTTTCACATGGAACTCTGGCGATACCGTATCTGTCATGATGTGCTCCTCGAGCAAATGGTCTGACAGCCCGGATGCCGTGAGGAAAGTGTGAGCACAGTCGAATGGACACTCAAACCTTATGAGTTTCATTGGTCTTTCATCACCATGGTCGGAGTTTGAGCCATCAGTCTTAGAGGCACCAGTCGACGGCTGCCTATTACCTACAGAGCTCTCTCTTTGTCTCTTACGGTCATGATAACCTATATGTCTCTTCAACTGCTGGTTCGTTATGAACCTCTTATCACATTCGGGACAACCCAAGGGTCTTTTATCCGCATGAGTCCAGGCATGAGATTTCAAATGGGTTTCTCGGAAGAAGCACTTACCACACACGTCACACTCAAAGGGCCTGGTGTTGTCATGACTTCTCTTGTGCTCCTCCAGCAGACAAGGCCTGTTGTAGGCCTTGTCACAGTTCGCATAGGGACACTTGTACTTCTTTGCACTCCTGTTCATGGGTGCGAATGGTTGCTATTCTAACTTCCGAGGGATGGCCGTGGGCAGCACTTATTGCTTGGTTATTTCTCCCTTTGTTGGAGGTGTGTGGGACGCAGCTGCCAACAAACAAGAAAAAGCAGACCAGAGAAGACAACGGAGTCAAACTGCAAGTGCCTATTGCTGTATAAACGATGCGAAGATCGTTTTAAGACCCAGTGCATCGGCACTATACGCATCAAGGTTATTCTCCTGTGTCCCGTAACAATAGATTAATCAGTCACGTGAATAGGTGTGATAACTCGGGAAAGTAGAATTCAGTCGGTTTTCGAAGAAAGCTTCTATGGCCAAGTTGGTAAGGCGCTACACTAGTAATGTAGCGATCCTCAGTTCGACTCTGAGTGGAAGCACACTTCGTCTTTTTTTTTTCAAAACCGTGGTGAGAAGAATTGTTACGGGACACACCCACATACACAGCAGGAAACGACAGGCCGAGGCGTTGCGATGCGATGAGATGTGTCTCTAGGAAAATTTTATAGCCCATTGGGATTTTTTCTTTTCAGAGGTAAACATAGACATAAACAACCTGTTTGAACTCGTACTCTCCATTCTTTGTTGTGGATTTACCTGGTTGTGCTATTTGATCAATCACTTAGGGCCCTACACATAGTGCTCTCTTAACAGCTACGCTCATCGCATCGCTCATTTTGACCTCAGCTTCACGGCATTGCATCCACTTGTTCTCTCATTAACTTGCTTGAGGATTAAGTCTTTCATCATACACCACTTGTCCTTGTGGGTATACACATTTCCGTTTCCTTTCACTCTTCTTTTGCATTTCCATTCATATAATTAATCAGCATATACCACAATGACTATTCAAGAGCTTGACATTGATACTTTCCTTTCTGGACCGGTGGTCCAGGCCACCACAGAACAAGGTGCGCATACGGATATCGACGACGCCATTAACGAGGCATTGGCCGAGATAGACCAACACGATTTGAACGGTCTGTCCAATTCCAATGGCAATCCAAACCCAGAGTTGATGTTAATGCAGGAGACAGAGGACCTGCTCCAGAGTTGTGCTGACCAGTCCATGAATATCAATATCACACCGCATTATTCACTTAGCTTCGAAAGACAAATGCTGGAGTCATCGAAGCCTCTATCACCGCAGTCTTTGAACTCTGAGGGGTCTCAGGTCACCTCGCCAAACTCATCAATGGTTGGACTATCCAACCAGGTTCTGAGTGTCAGTTTCCAGGAGGTTGAACAGATGAGGTTGCAGATCGAGAAACTACAACAGTTGTACGACGGCAAATGCTGTGATCTGACCAAGGCCATGAACGAGTTGAGACAGAACGAAATCAAGAGATTAGCATTAATGGAAGAGAACAGAGCTCTAAAGAACGCACTGATCAAGGCAACCATTGATACAAGCTACATTTCATAGAATTACTTTTGCATATAGAAATCTAACAGATTCAACTCAATAACTACAGAACAATCATTAAACAATGCAATTAGAAATTCAAATTAAGAACTCCAAACTTATTGATAAAGTAAAAAAAAAATAACCAAGCATTCAAAGACATATCAGCGATACGCTTATTCTGGCTTGACAGTCAAGTGACACTTACCACAGTATTGTCTGTCACCGTGGTTGGCCATGAAGACACCGGCACCACAGGTCTCAGCTGGACATTGTCTTCTGAGTCTCTCAACCTTACCATCTTGGTCAACCTTGTAGTAAGTCAAGACAGCGAGTTTGACCTTTTTGTGCTTGTGTTTGATCTTCTTTGGAGTGGTGTAGACTTTTTTCTTTCTCTTCTTACCACCACCTCTCAATCTGAGAACCAAGTGAAGAGTGGACTCCTTTTGGATGTTGTAGTCAGACAAAGTTCTACCATCCTCCAATTGCTTACCGGCAAAGATCAATCTTTGTTGGTCTGGTGGGATACCCTCTTTGTCCTGGATCTTGGACTTGACGTTGTCAATGGTGTCGGAGGACTCAACCTCCAAGGTAATGGTCTTACCTGTAAGGGTTTTGACGAAAATTTGCATCTTGGTTTGTCTGCAAGTGTAAAATGCGTCTTTCTCACCAAGCTGTTGAAGAAGTAAAACTGAAAGGTGAAAGAAGTGAAAAGTTTTTACAAGTTGAAAATTTCTTTTGTATGGGAAACAGAAGCCGGTTGCAACCGACTCTTTTTTCCATTTATCGGTTAGCGCCACACACACGAGAAGGAGAAAAATTTTCACAGTCACTCACACCCAGACACCTCGGTACGCGCAGCATACGGGGTATCTACTTTTGTGTCATATTACGTAATCGTGTTGATGTCTTTGCTTTGTGTGATACGTCACTTTGTATTAGATGGATGGATAGCTAACCTGTTGTGTCTTCTCGTTGTGGAGAGTGAGTGTATTCTGATCATAAGACAACTGTCGTTCAGGTGAAGCGTCTCTTCTTCTGAGTTGGATATGTCTGCCACGAGTGCTCATCACAGGGTTGGTGATTTGGTCCTTGAGTACCGTTCACAGTTGAGAACAGGCTCTAATGTTGAGGGTTCAAGCAAGGCTCTGAAGGGGAAACCACTGCACAGGCCACACAAAGGGGTATTGAGGTCGATATTTGACTTCATCGTGTGTCGTGTATCATAGGTCCAAGTCACTCTCTTCTGATTCTTGCTCCTCGTGTTTGGCAATTCTCGTGTAATTGTTTGCCCTTTGCTCAATGGCACCTAAAATGTAATGCATTAGTACTGTTATAACAGCTGTTCCCAAGGGGTAACACAAGACGTACCGTTTTGCAATAGAAATTGCTCTAAGGCCTCAATGGAGAAGTCATTCTTTTTAGCATCGTAGTGCAGTTTTTCAAACCCAACAACTCTTGCAGTTTCCACACCGTTTACGTATACAATAACCACTGGCAGCACCTGTACTTTCAGCCTAGTCACCAAGAATGGCGCGTTATCCACACTGATACGGATGAACTTTGTAGTAACGTGCTTCTGAGCCAGGATCTCCAGCTTCCGATCCATAAGCGAGCATTTGGCAAAATTCTCGTGGAATAGGTGTAACACGGTTCTCGCGGCTTTGGCCGTGATCTTTATGACGCTTTCTTCAGAGAGCTCCGTCTGCACAGACCCATGCCCGGCTTCTTCAACCAATCGCTTTGATTGTGACATCTGTTGGCTCAATTCCTGCATTCGCTGTTCTCTATACTGCTGGAAATGTTGATCCAATTCATCGTCGAGTTTGTCCAACAGCTCGTCTTCATCTTCAGACCCCACGTCGTGCCCGTGCTGCTTCCTTATGAGGTCTTCTCTGTACGAGTCTATGGCCCTGTTAAAGCTCATGGTTCCACTGGCGCCATTCACTATGGGTTGTCCAGCGAGGAATGGAACCGCAGCCCGTCTCGAAGAGCACAGCGCACCGTCGACTCTTGATCTTACGTAATCACGGATTAATTGTGCGCTAACCAAGTGTGTCCGAACCAACTATATGAGAGCTGGCTGTGACACCGGAGCTTTTCTCTCAGGAACGATGGCAGTCAGGGAGCAATGGCAGTCAGGGAGCAAACCCACAGTGCAATGGACAGCGCAATGGACAGTGCCAGCACGGCCAGTGTGCACCACCACCACAGCCAATTCGTCCCAACGGCCCACCATCCGTCACAGCTCCACACCCTGGAAGGAGACTCCACGACAGAGCGCCCCGGTGTAGCATGGGCCACACACCTCCGGAAAAACCTCCCCGTCGCCTACACCGCGGTCGCGCGAGCAGCAGCGCGGTGTCCGGGTGTGCTGCTGTCCGAGCCTGCCACGCACACTGCTCCATCAGCTGGTGGTGTCAAGCACAGAGCACCGACTGCCATGGCCCCGTAGGCACACACAGCACACACAGCACACAGGCACTGGACCGTCGCCACCGCGTGGATCCGTAGCACACCCACCTCGCCCACCTGGACACCACCTGGACACCACCCTTCGGATCACCGTTTCCCCCTCCGCTGCCTAAACCCGTCACCCCCCCCAGCAGCCCAACGTCGCACAGCTCAGCAGGCCCTTTTTTTCTTTTTCCATGGATCGCACCAGCCCGCACGCACCAAATCCCCGGTAGGGTAACACGCTTAACTACGGCACAGCGCCCAATGCGCCGTGAAAAGACCTCCCGCGCTGTGGGCTCCCACCCTCCGCCAAAGGGAGCCCAGCGGGCCTCAGCGTGCGAGCCCAGCGAGCCTGTGGGTGTGTCTCGCAGCAAATTAGTCCTCAACCAATTTTAATATAAAGAAGCACTGATCCTGCAAATTCAGCTTTCTCCCCCTGGTGTGCTTCCATTTGCTTCATTCCTAACTGTGTGTGTTTTGCTCAACATTGACATAGTTGTAGTAGTTCTGTTCTAACCAAGTGCTCAAGCTCATAGTGAAATCATGTCTGAACCAAAGTATGTATGATTATGGCTGCTGCCGTGACATGGTCCCGTTTGCTGTTGTAAGCTTGCGAAGCGAGGTGTACGGAGGGGCGAGGTTGGTGTGGTGTGCCGGTGGGAGTGCGCTGGTGTGTTCTCTGGCGTGTACACTGGAGTACGCTGGAGTACGCTGGAGTACGCTTGCTGTGTTGTGCTTCTCTGCGGTGGTGGTGGTGCCGGCTTTAACCGTGGCCTAAGCGCAGGGAGAGGAGCACTCAGCCAATTGTGGTGATGACAGGGTGGAGCAGCGGTGACGCTGTGGAGGGGAGCGCTGGCTGGCGGCCTGGTTATAAAGGCCATCTCCTGCTCTGCCTGTGCTCTGCCTGTGCTCTGCCTGTGCTCTGCCTGTGCTCTGCCTGTGCTCTGCCTGTGCTCTGCCTGTGCTCTGCCTCGTCCTCCTCGCTGTCTGCCTCGCTGCTCCTGCTCTCACCGTGCCAGTACTAAACACACTGCTCCAATGCAACGCTTACACCAATTTGCTCACACTCTGCGCCCCAACAGTCCAGATCCATATACTAACAGCAATGCTTCGCCTAGAGGTGATATTGGTCTTATCGGTTTGGCCGTCATGGGTCAAAACTTGATCCTCAACGCTGCCGACCACGGTTACACCGTTGTTGCTTTCAACAGAACCGTCTCCAAGGTTGACCACTTTATCGAGAACGAGGCCAAGGGCAAGTCCATCATCGGTGCCAGATCCATCCAAGAGCTCGTTGACAACTTGAAGAGACCAAGAAGAATCATCCTGCTCGTCAAGGCCGGTGCTGCTGTCGATGCCTTCATCGAGCAGCTCTTGCCATACCTTGAGAAGGGTGACATCATCATTGACGGTGGTAACTCCCACTTCCCAGACTCCAACAGAAGATACGAGGAGTTGAAGGGTAAGGGCATCCGTTTCGTTGGTTCCGGTGTGTCTGGTGGTGAGGAAGGTGCCCGTTACGGTCCTTCGCTCATGCCAGGTGGTGATGCCGAGGCTTGGCCATACATCAAGGAGATCTTCCAATCCATCTCTGCTAAGTCTGATGGTGAGCCATGTTGTGACTGGGTTGGTCCAGCAGGTGCCGGTCACTACGTTAAGATGGTGCACAACGGTATCGAGTACGGTGACATGCAGCTCATCTCTGAGGCCTACTACATCATGAAGACCGTTGGTGGCTTGACCGACAAGGAGATTGGTGATGTGTTTGCGCAATGGAACAAGGGTGTCTTGGACTCCTTCTTGATCGAGATCACCAGAGATATCTTGTACTACAACGATACCGATGGCACTCCTCTTGTTGAGAAGATCTTGGACCAAGCTGGCCAAAAGGGTACTGGTAAGTGGACCGCAATGAACGCCTTAGACTTGGGTATCCCATTGACCCTTGTCGGTGAGGCTGTCTTTGCCAGATGTTTGTCTGCTGTTAAGGGTGAGCGTGTCAAGGCCTCCTCTATCTTGCCAGGTCCTCAGATTCCAAAGGACGCCGTCAAGGACAAGAAGGAGTTCATTGACAACTTGGAGCAAGCTTTGTACGCCTCCAAGATCATCTCCTACGCCCAAGGTTTCATGTTGATCAGAGAAGCTGCTAAGGAGTACAACTGGGACCTCAACTTCCCAGCAATTGCCCTCATGTGGAGAGGTGGTTGTATCATCAGATCCGTCTTCCTCGGTGAAATCACAAAGGCCTTCAAGGAGGACCCACAATTGGAGAACTTGTTGTTCAACAAGTTCTTCACTGATGCCGTCACCAAGGCCCAAGCCGGCTGGAGAAAGACTGTGTCTCTCACTGCTGAGTACGGTATCCCAGCACCAGCTTTCACCACTGCTCTCTCCTTCTACGATGGTTACAGAACTGCCTACTTGCCAGCCAACTTGTTGCAAGCCCAGAGAGATTACTTTGGTGCCCACACCTTCAAGGTTGTTCCAGAGAAGGCCAACGACAACTTGAAGGTTGGTGAGGCCATCCACATCAACTGGACCGGTCACGGTGGTAACGTTTCTGCTACTACTTATGATGCTTAAAGCTCTCCTATCATCTTTCTAATTAAAAAATAAAGACCGTTATGAAGAAAAGGGAATACTAACTGTGTAGAGCCAATCCATCTTCAAGACCTTGTTTGATCACGGTGACGAAATGGTCAATATCAGCCTTGTCGTTGTACAGGCCCAGCGAGGCCCTGGTTCCACATCTGTACTGGCTAACGTAGACGTTGTTGCTTGCGAATTGGGAGGCCCACTGTTCGCCATACAGTGGAATGACGTTGCTATGAGGTGATCTCACAGCAACGTCGTCTGGACCACTGGTTTCAACTCCTATCTTACGCAGCTCAGATCTGAGGTATGAGCCCAGCTCCTGGAGGTACAATTGGACGTTCTCCATGCCAACACTTTGAATAAAGTCCAAATAGGCACCAAGAGCAATGCACTGCATCATGGGCTTGTTCAGATGTTCAAACCGATGGGCAGTTGCAAACACCTCGAAGTCTTCAGAGATGGTCAAATCGGGGCTGAGGTTACTGATGGAACCACCACAGAGGATTGGAGGTGTGTCTTTCAACAGTTTCATGGTCTCTGGTTCAACGTAGAGGACCCCCAGGCCGTTTGGAACACTCAGTCCTTTATGGACGCTGAAGGCGATGGCTGAAGCACCGAGGTCCTCAACATCAATCCTACCAAAGCCAACCTCTTGAGTGGCATCGACCAAGATGTGGATGCCTCTAGGCTTGAATTCTTTGGCTATACCCTTAACATCATTTCTCAGCCCTGAATGGAACATGACAGAGCTCAGTCCAATGGCTTTAGTCTCCTCATCGACATATGGCCTGAAGTCATCTGCCGTGAACGGCTTCAATGCTGACTCATCAACAGGAATCAGGCGGATTTCCAGGCCATCTTGGGCCAAGCCAAGCCATCCAAACCCCTGGTTTGGATGCTCGTTTGCAAGCACAACAACGTTGTCACCTTTGGACCATCTGATGGATCTTTGGAACAAGTTGACACCTTCAGTGGTGTCTCTTGTGAAGGCAAGGTTGGCAGAGTCGGTGTTCAAGAACACACCCAATTTCTCCCTGGTGTCCTCACACTGGGAGATGAACTGTGGCTTAGGATGATCCAAGCTGATAGCGTCGTCAAGGTACTTCTTGATGGAGTCATAGACGATCTGGTTCATCGGAGGCTGGAACGACGAGTTGAGGTATGTGCAGCTCGATGCCACTGGAACGTAGCTACGGAACTGTTTGATTTCCTTGGAAACGGTCATTGTGTTGAGAGATCACTGGCTGATTGTTATCGTATGACTTCCATAGCTACGAAAACGTATAGAGGAACCCCATTTCATGTTGCTACCTTATATATACGATTCAGTTGATAGTGACAAGTTCAGTAGGCGAGCCTGCGGAGTTTGATTCTCCGCAGGAAGCCACCTTATCGAGACTGCGGAGATTGGATATCCGCGCGATGAGGTGATAAGATCGCCATGTTCACGAGGTCTGACTCTGATTCCTACCACCATTCCACCCGAGTTGAAGATAAGACGGTTGAGATCATCACGTTGTTATCGCTCTGTGCTGATTGTCCAGCATGGGTTATAAAGCATTCGTTCGTTCCTTCAGAAGACCCTGGTCTGACCCCCAGTGTACATCAACACCTCATACAATGAGTAAAGTCAAGAACTTGTCGGAAGACTCGCTGAAAGATGCGAAACTATCACCTATTGAAGGAGAAGTGATCCATGTGTCAACCAGCATGGAGATGCTGGACCTCGAAGACGAGCCTGGCAGGCTTAAGAGGGACTTCAAGGCTCGCCATGTCAACATGTTGGCCATTGCGGGTGCTATCGGAACAGGTCTCATCATTGGCTCCGGTACAGGGTTGAAAAGGGGAGGTCCTGCGTCGTTGTTTCTCGGTTATCTCTTTACTGGCTCCCTCCTGATGGTTGTTCTGATGTCGTTAGGTGAAATGGCTGCGTTTTCTCCAATGGATAAGGCCTTTTCCGGGTACCCTTCACGGTATGTTGACCAGGCCTTGGGGTTCGCTGCCGGATGGAACTACTTCTTCAAGTACGCCATTGTGTTACCTGCCAATTTGACGGCAGTTGGATTGATCATCCAGTACTGGCGTAAGGACCTGAACGTTGGTATCTTCATCACTGTGTTCCTGGTGGCCATTATAGTCGTCAATTGGTTTAACGTCAAGTTTTATGGCGAGCTGGAGTTCTGGTCTGCTGCTGCTAAACTCATCACCCTCACCATATGTTTCATCACGTGTATTGTGATTACATGTGGGGGATCCCCAACTAACCAGACCATTGGCTTCCAGTATTGGAGAGAAGAGGCCTTCCAGGAGTACCTTGTTGACGGTGGCACTGGTAGGTTCCTTGGTTGGTGGGCATGTGTTATACAGGCATGCTTTGCCTACGTGGGCTCAGAGGCAGTGGGCGTGGTGTTTGGTGAAACACCAGATCCAAAGAAGAACATTCCAAAAGCTTCCAAACAGGTGCTATTTAGAATAGCATTCTTCTACATCTTTGGTGTTTTCATCTTGGGCCTTGCCGTCTCACCAACAAATCCACTCCTAGCACAAGCTTCAGGATCAAACGCTTCTGCATCGCCATTCGTCATTGCAATCAAAACAGCTGAGATCAAAGTGCTTCCAGGGTTCATCAATGGTTGTTTGCTCATCTTCGTCGGGTCTTCTGCCAACACAGACTTGTACTTGGGTTCCAGAACACTCTATGGCTTAGCAAAGGACAACTTTGCACCAAAGATATTCCTGAAGCTCAACAGTAACGGTGTGCCATTCATTGGCTGTGTCTTCACAGCCCTGTTTGGATTATTGGCGTATATGAACTGCTCTGATTCATCAGCAGTGGTTTTCGGCTATTTCTCTAGTGCCGTGACAGTCTTTGGTATCCTCAATTGGTTGAACATTATGATTGCATACCTTGGCTATTACCAAATGACCGTAGTGCAGAAGGTGAGCCGTGATGATATTCCCTTTCGTATGTGGGGCCAGCCTTATACAGCTTACTACGCCATCGGCTGTATATCCTTGATAACCTTCTTCAACGGTTACAATGCCTTCATTACGTCCTTCCATTACAAGAGCTTCATCACATCTTATATCGGAATTGCAGCATATTTGATCATGATTGCCTTCTGGAAGCTCTATCACAAGACTCAGAGGGTGAGCTCTGATGATGCCAATGCCCTTTTTAACTACAGGATGTGATCCTGTTCATCCAGCCGTTGTATACTTTGCAGGTCAATTTATACTCGTTATTCAGTTGTGCTTTGAAGTGTAGAACTTGTCTGCGATTTCCCAGTATTTAGCAAAGTGCTCAAGGCACTTCATGAACATAGGTCTCCAACACTCAACCTGACCTTGGAAATCTCCGTTGCCCCAATCCAAATCCAGCATTTGCAATGCCAATATAACCAAATAAACCAAATTCAGCGACCCATGTGCCAAATTTAAGTGTTGTAGCTCTGTAAATCCCTTTATGAGACATGAGATTTCCTCAAGGACTCCAATCAAGAACTTTGCTGAGCTTGGACTGGAAGGCTGAGTTCTGTTCAGAGTCAAAATGATTGTATAATAGCAGATCGGTATGGTCATCCTCACTGGATTATGGCCATGCTCCTCGAGTGACACTTTGCTCCATTGAATCGCTGTCGGCAACCGATGTTGCCAGAGTTGACAGTCCAAATTGAACTGGTGTAACTGTCCAGCGCCCAGATTACCCTGCTGATACTTGAAGAACAAGTCGAATAGCTCTATCTCAAAGCGCATTATCCCAGAAACGTCAATTGTTCTATCGTAATCCGGTTCAAGTGGATCCGAGTACTGGAAGTCCTCTATTCCTTTCAAGACAGGTAAATCTGACGATTCTTCTAAGGTGGCCTTTGATATATCCAGCGTGAAGGGTCTGCCCAGGATGAGAGATATGAATCGATCTGCAAGGAAGCAGCCCCAGAATATCCTGCGTCGTAGCAGAAGGTCGTACTCTGAAAAGATCCCAGCAACTGCTGCTGATGAAGACTTCCAATGTTGAGGGTCCAGCTCAAACCCCATCTCTTGTCCAATTCTGAACGCCATTCCTGATAGCAGCCAAGCGGAGGAGGCATCGCCTCTCCCGAGGTCATACGAAGCCAGGCATAGCAGAGTCTGGACAGTGGTGATGTTGCTGAAATTGAAGGATTGCAATTTGCTGAATATCAGACTCTTTGCCCTGTGGTAGAAATCCAGGGACAAGCGTTGATCTGTAGCCCCAAGTGAACATATGGCGTATATCAGCTCCTCACTGCAATACGGCAGTGATTCCTTTATGTCAGAATCTTCTTTGAAGAAGTCCGTTAGGAACGACTCCCTGTGTAAGAAGAAGTTACAATCTGGGTATCTCCATTTGAAGAATGCCGTGATGTGGGTCAGATACGTCTCATTCTGGAATGACGTGAAGTCAGACGACTCTGGGAGTCTCGGGCTCAGCATATGGTCATGGTCTAGGGGTATAAACACAGATGTGGCACCGTAAACCGAGATAGAGCCCTCCTGAGAACCATCTGCAATAACAGTCAGGTCCCTGGAGGAGCGATTCGGCTGAGCCAGCGACTCCAACCGTGCCTCCAGAGACTTCACGTAGGACTTTGTGAACCTGTGAGCTCTTCCATCAACACTACACGGAATACACTCAACGTTGAGCTTTGTACAGAGCGAGCAGGGCGTCTTGAAATCACACCTTCTCTGTTGGCGATGAGGTTAGCACCTGTCTGAGTCCGTTCTCTCATCACCGCTTACTCACCTTCTTTCTTCGACAGGACTCACAGCTTTGGATGTGTGTTAGTTGGTCATTGGGCAGGCAGCAGAGAGAGAGAGATATCAACACATACGCCAATCTTTTAGGCATTTATACGGTGCGATGCTCAGCCAATGGGTGTGTCTTGGAGATTATGTGTGGAGAGGCTCAAGATGGGTTCGCGGTGGGGAGAGCCCAGGCAGGGGCGTTGGTGGGCAGGCGGAGGCCCAGGCAGAGGCCCAGGGAGCCCAGGCAAGAGCCCAGGCGGAGGCCCAGGCAGAGCCGCCGCGCACAAACATCACCAAGTCTGAAAACCGCCAGCGATCACCCTTTTCCCATAACCACCAATCACACCACAGCGGGTATTTTTTGCATTGATATTAAACACGGCGGTTCATTGACTACACAGGGCGGTAAGCGAGAAGATGAGCTATTTGTACGAGTTGGATCCCAAGATCATGAGATTGTTATCTCTTGATAACTTTTTGGTGAGTGTGTTCCCGTTCTTAAGCAGGTAAACAAAGGGGTCCGGGGAGTGACTAACACGGTTGAACCGATAGGATAACATGAGCGTGTACGAGTTCATCGAGGAACTGAGTAAAGATCACTCGATGGGCGTGAAGGAAGTGAGCTCGCTGAAGAATCTTGATCCTAAGCCGTTCATTAGAACGTTCGAATCCACGCTTAGGGAGTTGCACAGAGTGTCTGCGGAGGCTGCTGAGCGGAGAAGCCAGCTCGAGAAGGAGGTTGCCAAGTACGAGTTGGACCACTCGAGAAACATCCTGTCGTTGGCTGAAAGAACGGAATCGGTACAGTCGCAGTTCAAAGCGTTGGATGATAAGGTTACAAAGGTTTCGCACGAGATGAAGCCATTGACTGAGAGCTTGAACCGGAAAGTGAGTGCTAAGGAGAGAACACAGGCCACTGTTTCCCTCATCCAGATCTACAACTCGTTCTACCAAACAGGCAAATCGCAGGAGCTCGATAAGTTGATGAACGGCTCGATAAAGAGCAAGAAGACGTGTGCGTCCACTGTAGCACAGCTACTCACCCTTTCTCAGAAACTTATATCTGACGACTTGCCGAAATCAGATCAATGTCATCAGACCATCCAGAAATATTCAGAGACAATGGAGAATTGGTTGTTGGAGGAGTTTAGTGAGATGTACAAGGAGAACAACCATACTGGTATGAAGAACATCTCCGACATCTTGTGTGATTACAACGATGGTGTCGGTGTTATCAAGAACTTTGTCAATCAGCACAACTACTTCATTAACGCAGACTCTCTCCAATCTGCCCCAGTGGATGAATCTGTGTGGATAGCGCTATCAGATCCTGCAAATCAAGATCTATTGCATGAGTCCTTTTGTGATGATTTCCTCCTCCAGATTAAAAAGGTTATCCATGATGAAACTGTCGTGATCCTACAGGTGTTTAGAGACCCTGTGACCGTGTTGGGTCTATTCACACAAAGAGTGTATGCACAACAGATCCAAACTAAAGTGGAGTCTCTAATCAAGGACTCGTACGCTGTGAGTACGTTGTCCTACTTGAGAACTTTGTATTCGTTGTATATAACAGTGGCTTCGTTCACAAAGGACTTGAAAACTTTCTTCCAATCTGCATTGGAGTCCAATGATGCCAAGTTGGAGGATCTATTTGCAATCCTGGACCAGAGTTTCTCGGATTTATTCACTCAACACATTGCTGAATCCAAATACTTTGGGCTAGAAAAGAAAACGTTAGAATCAATTATCTATGCCGAAGTTTCTAAGTATGAAACAGCAAATGCTGGGAAAGTTTCATACAAGTTGAAATCACGCTTGGCTAACGACTTGAAAGGCGGAGAAGAGGACCGGTTAGAGGCTGAATTCGAAAGTTTAGAAAGAAATTCAAGAGTTGGACAATTGAAGAGTTTTATGCGTTCACATCTTGAACGTACATCTTCTCTCAAAAAGGGAGCTGAGGTTACTGATGAACCTGTTCCGGATACTTCGATGGATTTGGATGTCTCGAAGGCTGAAGTGCTATTGAAATCGAGCGTTGAGTCATTGTCCAGAATGATTGAGCTCACGCCAACGAAAGTCAGCGAACACTGTATAGATATCTTGGAAATTGTGACGATAAATCTTGGTAAGACCTACCTAGATATCGGCCTTGAAGTGTCGTACACAGAACTCGGACATTTGGACTACAGAGCGGACTATTTGGATTTGAAATTCTTGTCCAATATTAGAAGTGCTTCTCAGATATTGTTCTTGTCATCGTCAGGTATCAGATCAATTGTATTGCCCTTGGTGAATAACACTCCACAAATCAGGGAAAGAATTGTCAAGTATACGAACAGTTATGCTATGTCGGTGGAGCAGAAAATCAATATAATCTTGAACGATCTCTTGGTCATATTTCAACACAAGGTGACGAATTGTCTCTCTAAACAGAAGAGAAAAGATTTCCTACCCAAAGCTGGAGAACTGGTAGACTCTGATACCCTTGCCTGTGAATCGCTCTGCCAGTTCCTCTCTGATACATTTGAACAATTGGAAGAACACCTTGACAGCGAGAACTTGAAGTCTATGTTGCTTGAACTTGGTATGTTTACTTTCAACCAACTCTTTGAGCACTACAAGAACTACCAGATCAACTCCATGGGAGGCATTGTTGTGACAAAGGATATTATCTCCTTCCAAACCATCATTGAAACGTGGAAGATCCCAGAACTTTCTCAGAAATTCCAACTGTTGAGAGAGATTGCCAATCTGTTTACTGTTCAACCGGACCTGTTAGGCTCCCTGACAACGGAGGGACAGCTCATGCGTGTCAAGCCTTACATTTTAAGACAGTTTATCTCAAAGAGATCAGATTATAGCACCGAAACGTCGTATTTCGGTAAGTTGAGAGGTATGATCTAACGTTATACTTTTGTGTTATGTATATATATATAAATGTCGTCCAATAGAAGATAACAGACAATTCACTTGAATGCGTTGAAGAAGAGCCCGAACAGTGAGAGAACTCCACCAGCTATAAAGGTCCCATTCACCACTATTGCAATATAATCTTTTTCTCTAAAGATTGGCTTAGTGTGGTGTTCAGCCAACGGCAGAGGGAACTCTGGGTGTGAGAACCTTGATATCACCCTCTGCGAGGTGGCTATCCACAAGTGTGGCAGAAGGAAGTACACTATCAGTACAATTGCGTTCAGTATTGCGGTGACAATGTAACCTTTCAATGCAGCATAAGGTGGTGGCAAGTAACATATCTCTACTTTGAAGGTCTGATCACCAACGTCTTCCGTATTCAATGACAAGAGTTCAATGGCTGGGTATTGAATTCCCATATTCATGGAGCAGGACTTGACAGTTATCTCATCTGCCGTGCGAGGTTGGCCTTGGAACTCGTACTTGTGTTGAACGTGACAATAATCGTGATCGTCACCACTGAACGAGAATTTTGGTCTAACCTTCGACAGGACTTCCATCGTCAGGTCAAAATCTAGCACGGTTTGGTATTGGTGTCCCTTCATGATCGGGAATTTCTTCTTTGACTCTCTCAGTGGTCCGCAAGGCTGCTGGTCTGGGAATCTGTACAGTGGGACATGTGTCATCAGCAGTCTTGGTGCCTCGTTTTCATCATAAGGTGCCAATGATTCGAGGATTTCACGTGGATCCTGCACAACTTCTGGGTTTGAGTAATCGCTGAGGGAGATCGTGTCCAGCAGCACGACAGTATGGTTCCCCAGTTCGTGAATGGATGAAGGTGGTCCAAACGTTGATTTGAACCTGTTTAAACTGGTGATATTCACAGTTTCTCCAAACCCTATGTCGTGGTTCCCAGGCAACGACATTATAGTTCTTCTATTAGGTCTCTTGTGGTATATCTCGTTGAACCTTTTGAACTCCTCGTACCAGTCCGCATCATCCCAGTTACGGCCGCCATCGAAGAGATCTCCCAGGAATATCACCGTATCCGGGTCCAACACTTTATCGACAAATGCCCAGTTGCGTCTGTGGTAGTTATCCACGAGCTGACTGGTCAACCAGTTAACCCAACCTGGCCTATCAGGGTATGAATACGCATCCATTATCTGTGGATCTGCAAACAGTGCAATTCTATGAGGATCACCTTTCGTCCAAGGCTCCCATTTGTTCCATTGGCACCTCTGAATCGTCCTCTTCACCGTGGAACGCTCGAAGAAGTTGATCACGAGACACCATACCAACAACGACAGCAGTATCACTCTCCATTTAACAGAGTGCACGGAATGCGAAATGACGTTCCTCATGGTGATCTTTTGACTTGTCTTGCGCGGTTTGTATACATCCATGTGTGAGTTATCGTCGTCTTTCCCCTTTAGACGAGGTCCTCTACGCGACAAGTTATCCATCGTCAGACCCAAACTACCGTGAATAGGAGACAATTGTTGTAGAATACGTTTACATTTAAGAGAACTAGATCAACATCTCTACAGTTATTACAATGTGTCCTTGTGTTGCCCTTACTGTTTTATTTGATAATCACGTGAAAACACACGTGACATACAATCACGTGAATATATACCGGCTAATCACGTGAACCTGCCACTTTATCATTCTCTTCATCCTCCTCCTTCTCATTCTCCTTCTCCTTCTCTTTATGGGTCTTAGCATCCTCCAAGATCTTCTGAGTCTCCGGACCAATCATATAATGGTCCCTGAACCATGCCAATTGAGCAATTGACTCCAAGATATCATCCCTTGCGGTGTGGCTATTCCTCTTCTTTGGACACTGGTTGATCAACTCAGGGTTGTGACGTCTGCCGAACTCGAAGAAGCTTGAAACATCGATAATTCTGTAGTGCAGGTGGTCAATGACTTTAGGGAGTTCTCTCATCATAAATGCCCTGTCCATGTGGACAGTATTACCAGCCAACACAGCTTTACCCTTCTTCGTATAAGTCTGGACATAATCCAGCAGTTCCTCTTCAACTTCTTTGAGGGTCTTCTTCGATTCCAAGACCTTTTGAGTGAGTCCGCTGGAGCCGTGTTGGTTGACACACCATGGGTCCATCGAGTCCAGAATCTCCTTATCAACGTGGATCACGCTTTCGTAGCCTTCGTGTAGAAGATTCATATCCCCATCCGTTATGATACAGCATATTTCGATGATGTTGTCCTTGTAGACGTCCAATCCTGTCATTTCACAGTCAATCCAGACTATAGGGTTTCCTACCTGCTGCTTTTTCTTGTTTGGATTGAACGTTGGTAGTTCCAACTCAGTACTTGTTCTCTTAGACATTACTACCTGCGAGATGAACTTCTTACTCTGTGCTATTGCTGTTGTCCTTGATGTATGGAAGAAACACCTGTATGGGATTGACGATGGAAATAGGCCTCTTGTAGACGGTTTGAAACGGATACAAGCAGCTTTCAGCATACAATTGTGGGGCGTTTCAACGTGTGAGTCCAGAAGTGGCAGTTACTTGTTCATGAGGTAAAAAAAAATGTCGAGAATGGAAAACGCATCATCATCATGACATAGGGACAGGCTAAACAAGCAATCAACAAAAAGAAAAAACACAAGCCACCAATGATTCATCCTCTGTTCACAAAGTTCACAAGAGCTGACTCCTTTTACTTTGTCTATTGTCTAATCCATATCCCAATCACCATTCTGATTGACTCAGGGTTAGCCATTCCTAAGAGATTCCAGCCATACATACAACAGAGTATTATTGAGTTCCACATATCAAACAACAATGACTTTCTATTGAGGTCTCCACCTGCGTGGTTGGTGTTCTTTGGATGGATTGAAGTGACGTTACAGCTGCCATTATTCTTCATTGCTGCTTATGCTTTGTACAAGAGATCGCCATCCATATACCCTTATCTCTTTCTATACGGAATTGAAGCATCAATGACCACACTGTGCTGCCTCCTGAACATTCTTACTGAGGGACAAGCGAATGGTCTCTCAACAGGAGAGATCTCAAACCTCTTTGGTGTTTATCTTCCAACTTTCCTGATTCC